GATGCTGAAATTCAGGTCTAAAAGCTTCTCAATAGTTACATTATTGATATAAGATATTCCTGCAGAGCCAGGAGAAAATACAGTGTAATCAAATAAATCATAAAAATTGCTCATTTATTTATGGGCTGGATGCCTGGAGTACTTTAGCTGTTTACTAAAAAGCTTTATGTGTCTCTTAAAACTGGAAATAGCCCTGTCCTTTAAAGAGGTTCACTTTTAAAGTATCAGAAATTTGTCTAAAGATACCATATCTTTAAAATACATCCATTTCAAATTTATTCTTCAAGAGTACAACCCCCCCCCGAAGATTTGTTGTTTTTTTTTTAAAATAATGCATTTTTATTAAATGAAAGACATTTGTTTGTTTGTTTTTAATTATGATATTACAATTACATTCTTATTGGAATCCTGACAGGTCTAGATTTAGTCTTGGGAATTTACTTTGGACGGATAAACAAAGGAGTCTTAGGATTCTCTGGGAAAGTTTTCCATACCATGTTTTGTACATGTACATGCTTTATAGAATGGGTAGCCAGACTTGATATAAGTGACAGCCACTGGACTATAGAGACATGTTCCTACCTTTGCTCTAATGAGTCTAGAGAAGGAATCCAATTCTTAACTGTAGAGAGTCCCAGTTTCAATAGGAAGAGTATGGAGAGCCCTCAGTTCTGCCTAGCCTAAGGTCTAGTACAGTGGAAGGAGAAGGGGAAGGCAACCTTTTTGATAGGCATGCCACAAATTAGTCACCCACCCTTCAAGTATCACTATAATCCCCTTACCCTGCCCAGTCTGCTTGCTCTACTTTGTGCTCCTTACCTGAGCTGCTCCTCTGCTTTCTGTTTCCTGCCCTGTGTTCCCTGTCTGATCTCCTGCTGTTTCCTGCCCTATTGGCTGCTGTGCTGCCTGTCCCTTCCTGATCTGTAGGGATCCTGGTTTTCCCCAGTTTAAAAAAAATCCCCAATTGTTGGTTAAAAAAACATAACCCCAAATCCACATTTTTCCATGATTAAAATGAAACACCACTATATATATATATATATATATATAAAAACCTCTCTCTTTCTATATATATAGATATATAATTATATATATTTTAGTGCTGTTTCATTTACATCACAGAAAAATGTGGATTTGGGGTTACCTTTTTTAACCAAAAATTGGGGATTTTTTTTTTTTTAAATTGGAGAAAACCAGGATCCCTGCTGATCTGCCACATGTCACACACGAAGACCACCCATGCCACTTTTGCCACAGGTTGACCACCTCTGGTCTAGTGGTTGATTTAAAACCCCCTTCAGTTTAGGGCAGCCTAGAATCTATATATCCAATTTATGGGGAAGTACTCTAACCGACAGGTAGATTTTTGGGGCTGTGAATCCAGTCTTACATACATACCTAAATGCAGGTTAAATCCAGCATTTGAGATGTACCACTGCTTTCAGCATTTCTTATTGCCTGCCTGAGTCCACCCAACTCACACTTAAAAGGACTGAACATTTAGATGCCTAACTCAGGTTTTCAACTGCAGCTTCTAACTTAGGTCTCCAGTCTCAGGTGTGGGAATGGTTACCACTAACAACATGGAGTCCCTATGTGAAGACTACTCTAAATAAACTCATTTTGATGGGAGTTAAGGATAAGCAGCTACTGGTGAAGTAAATGCAATTTCCAGAGGGCTCTTTTACAAGATTTCCTATTGTAATTCATACATTTTGACGCATTAGTCTGAAACACCATAAGTCTACCAAATCAACCTGTAGACAGACCAACCAAAAAAGTTACCTGAAGAAGGATTACTGGTTTCAGATAAAGACCAGTTTGCATTCATTTAAACTGCACTTGTGTGAACCTTAATGGATTGTAATTAGCGGACTCAACTTCTAAATTACACTAGGTGTGTGGCTTGCTGAAAGAAGCATGTAGCACATAAATAAAGACAAAATGATTGCCTTAGATTAGCAAGAAAAGACTCTAGGTTATACTAGAACACAATGAGAACAAAGTATAAGAAACCAAATGTCTTACCAAATATAGGGAGCACAGCAGTTATCAGGTCTTTTTAGACTCAAGTCACCCCTCCATAACTTTTCTGAATTGAGCAGTACCCGACTTCAAAAAGTAGTTTATTACAGTTTATTGATTTACAATTTATCATCTCCTCACCCCCTGTGTCACCCTTGAAAGGCTGTTATGGCACCCCACAATGCTGCAAATCTTTGTTTTAGACAACAAAATAAGCAGTCAGATTTTCAAGAGCTCCAGACAGGGACTGGCTGCTGGAAAAGCTGACCATGAACTCTTTAGAAAAGGTGGGAAAGGGTATGGAGAACCAATGGCCTCTATTCTTTTTTTTCATCTTTCCTTTGACTAAAACTCCACAGTCTAAAGCCCTTGTTGTTACCTATTGGCAAGATCTCAATTTTTCGCTTTACTCAATGCCCTCTTGTCCTCTCATTTCCACTAACTCTTAAATATTCCTTATTTTGACCATACTTTTCTCTTGCTTCTTTATGTCACAGTACAAAAATGCTCCCACGGTCTCTATCTTGCAAAAGAAGTCAGCTCCACTTGCCTTCCATCCAAACTCCCTTTTTAATTTCAGTTCTTCAGTATACTGCCTGCTCTCTTAGAATAGCTCCCATCTGGCATTGGAGCTCTCTGCCCTGCTGAAATGGCTCTTAGCAAGATCATTAATTTACCACTTCCCATCTATGTCATTTTGTTATTATTTACATATATTACAATACTGTGAAGCCCTAGCCAAAATCAGAACTACAATGTTCTAGGTGATGGATATGTAAAAAGATGTCCTTGTCCTGATAAAATCAAAATATAAATAAACACGAGAAACAAAGGATGGAAGAAAGAATGATTACAGATGGAGAATCTTCCTTCAGAGACCCACATATTGGCCACCAGAGCCATCTGCCCCTGCAGCCTCTCTTGCCAGCCCCAGAAGCATGGGAAGAGCTGTGCTGAAGTGTGGCCTGATGTCCGTCACCTGCCTGTGGCAGAGAGTACTACCTGGAGATCTGGAGCCAGCACAGGGGGAGGAAAGAGGGTTCAGGAAGCTGCAAGAGTGGGAATCCCTGGAAAAATACTGGAAATAGGGCTTTGAATTGGGGGGGAGGGGGGGCAGGGAGGAACACTTCCCTCCTTGCACAAGGGCCAACCATTGTATCACCATTAAAAGGATTTTTCTGCACCCCAATTGAGAATCACTGGTAACAGTGTAGTAATCTGTAGGTTATTTATGACCCAGTATGTAAGTATGTAACTGAAAATGTACTTGCACAAACACAAAATATTCACAACAAAAGGGATTATTACCAAGTGGGATTAATTTAACCAGCAATAACAAACTACAGTTATATTTCATATAGAAAGATCACCCAATAACCTTTTAACTTGAGTCACTCACACAGTCAGAACTTTACACATTTGTGCACAAACTTAGGAAAAAAGCTTGAACACTAAAAGCAGATTTGTGCGCGCGTGTGTGTGTGTGTGGGGGGGGAAATCACTAAAATCAAAATCAACACAGGATACTTACAATGGTCTACAACATTAAACACTTTCTAAATGCTCAGACTGAGAAACTGAATTTGACATATGGAATAATGAACATAGTAGGACCCCCAACTATAATGCACTTTAAAAGGAAAAGGAGAACCTACATTAGCATAGCTGTTCCAAGTTCACAATGTACTCACTGCATACACGCATCAAATTTTGCATCACCTAGACACCCACAATCTTTCTATACTTCATACTAAATTTGGTATTCCAGAGTATTTTGTGGCACCATCATGTTGCTGAGACAGTTTTTTTTACCTTGTGGGTGATGGAATGATATCATCTGGGATGACAGTTTGAAAAGACATGGCCAAAAAATGTTTACCTTTAAACTTATTCACAGGGTCCTGTTATTTTGCAACAAAGCCTAAATAGCTTTCCTTACATTCCAAGTTCTAGATATTTGATTAGATAGCTTGATCCTAATATGTAAAAGGTTATATAATTAGCCAAGACAACATTACAGGAAATGCCTTTTCTGGTATAAAAATAGTCCAAAACACTAAAATAATTGGAGTTTTGCTTCCTCAATTGAGGAAAAGCTCAAATAATCAACATGCTATTTTTTTTTTTTTAACTAAAAAATGGCAAGTATGAAGCTCCCAAGAGGGCTTCAAGGACTGTACTTTGGCAAGTAACTCCAACATTCTCTCTTTTCCAAGAAAATTAAAGGAAGCAGTGTTGACATAAGCATTGCTACTGAATAGTTCATCTCATCCACTTAAACTTCAGCAGTAGTCTCTTGTTGGTAGGACTAGTCTTCCATCTCCCAGGTGGCTGGTAATAATTCCCAAGACCTTTATATAAAGGGGCTGGATTTCCCAATGTAATAATACACCTCATAAGATTTAAGACAGCTCTAACCTCTCACATAATGAATAACTAGTACCGTTTGCTGTAATTCTTACAGAGTCCTGAGTCAAGTGCTCTCTGCTGGACTACGGTAGGTGCAATTTTGAATCTGTGTTGAGGGGTTTCTCCAAATAAGAGGCCACTCAGAATTCATTGCTCTTCTCTGCCCTTGAAAACAACTCAAACCGCACCATGTGAAGATGGTAAACTGCCCTACAGAGATCCTCACCATGGATTTTACTGAATATTAGGGAAAAGATGTGAGCATACCTGGGTAATTTATTTATAGAACACACTATAGACAGTAAGTATGTTTGTGCCTGAGAAGACATCTCAAATTCATTGGATAAAAGGTCTGAACTAAGATTCAGGTAGTTCCTTTTCTTTCATTCATTCATTTATTCTTAGTTATTATAAATATTGTACTACAGATCTCATTAATTCTGGGGTGGAGTCAGTTTTCTGGACAATACATAATGACCTTTCTGCAAAAGTACAGCAAAAGCCTTGGTGAACAGAGGAATGAAGCAGTTATAAAGATGAAGAAAAAAGAAAACAGAAGTGCTCACCACTGGACTTGCTCGAGCAGAACTGGCTCTTGAAGATGTCCGAGATCCGGAACCAAGGTAGCAGCTGTATTCAGAAGGCTGACCACATACACCCCAAGAACACAGCAAGCAAAGACAGGAAAACAGAGTTAGAACAGCAGAAGAATCAGAGCAGCACCAGTTCAGCATAGTTAGAAAAAGGGTTACATGACGCTGGACAAAGAAAAGCAGGGTTAAATTTAGAGAGGAGCTACTTAACATTAAACATCACAAAAGCAATAGGTATAGTAGATGGACCAAGAAAAAAGCTTTTGATTGAGGACATTTTATTTATAAATGTATTAAATAAAAACACCCCTCTTTTTCAATATGTATAGGTTGATTTCATCCCATCTGCTCAAATGAAATATTACCTTCCATCTCTGTTCAGTTCCCCATCCTCTTAAGCAACACCAGGCAGTTATAAAACTGATACTTGTTCTACAGGCCAAAGCAAGAAACCACAGATACTGGTAAGTTTCTTCTGAACTAATTTTGCAAAAAGGTCATTTTGATTGTTAACGTAGGAACTGAATTGTGTTTACTTTGTCCTTCACCAACCAGTAAAATTTATGACCTGCTACAGTTCATATGCTGCTGAGAGAACAAATAAGATTTAGTACCTTGAAGGTGAGCAAGTTACTAACCTTGTCTGAAATGTGTCACTAGGGCAGGGCAAAGGTTTGTCTGAAATGTGTCACTAGGGCAGGGCAAAGGAAGAAGAAATTTCTAACATGTTTTCCCCATGTTTTGTCCCTCCTTCAGTACAGCCATAAGCTTAGAAACTGTGTCTGCAAGGCATTGCCTTTAGCAACCAACAAGAGCCACAAAGGAATATAAAAGAAATACCAAGCCATGCTTCTCTAAGTATACAGCATAAAGTGACAAAAATCTCACTTGTGCACATTAACTACTGAACTTTGTTTGACAAGTCATAGCAACAAAAAGCTTTCGAACAAGCTTGAGTATTCTTTATTCATTTTTTACTGTATTCATTCTCAAAGATGCTTCAAGTGCTATAGAAAACAAATTGTAGCACATACCTTGATATCACTCTTTAAGAAACCCTGACATCTGCATACTGCTTTATCATTTGTATTAAAAATGTACAGTTGGTATAATAAAAACATACAAGGTGTTTAACTTGTACTATGAAAAAGTTAAATTATTTATGCCAGTCTAATACAAAACTTCCACTGTAGACCATTTCTCACTTATGCAGTTTCTCTTCTTGCTTTAACCTTTATAACCGATGCATTTGATTGTTTAATTTTAAAAGATCAACAGCATATGGGAAACATTTGAGAGCTGTCACAAAGCACAGGAAAAGGTGGATTACTGAGTTAAATGCTGTCTGCTCAGTGAATTTGGAACAAGGGAAGTCTAGTTCAGTTTATTTGCTCATTGCTTGGACTAGTGGCATTCCACCATCCTTCAGAAAATCCTCCTTAGTAGCTATTGTCCAAATTGTACATTTTCCAGATGTCAGAAGTACTATAGACTTCAGAGCAATTAACATAACTGTGATCAATGCAATAGCTATGTGGACGTATCCCTAGAGGACCTCATATTTCTACTCTCTATTACAAAATACCATGTTACGCTGAAAATGAACCATTATAAACCAACCTACAAAATCTGTGGCAAAGCAGAGCCAGGGAAAAGACCAAATAGCCTATTTGTACAACATTTTTTGTTCAAATCACTATCCTTTGTCATTAAAAAAAAAACCAAACAACCCACTCGTGTCTGCAACCTACAGTTTAGCCCAAATTAGAACTGCTCCATCTGGACTACTGAGGCACTCATTTTAAACAATCTATATACATAAAAGACCATTCTAATATAATAAAAGGCTTAGTCTGTCTGTGCATCTGTCTGTCACGCTTCTGGCCAACTGTGCACATGCTGCCAAGAGGGCAGGTAGTGATTGGCTGTGCGGCTGGGCTGAGTGGGCCCAAGTTTGCACCTGGAAGTTTGACAGCAGGTAACATGCCCCTGCTCCCAGAGCAGGGATTCCCCCCGCCTCCCTCCTCCCCCTAACAGCAGAGCTACCCCCTGCCTCCCTGCCCGAGCGTGAAGGGGAGATCACTGTGGTGGTGCCCACCCCTGCCTAGACGCCCCTCAGAATTGCCAGCAGGGAGGGGGAGGCGGTGAGCAGAGAGGCAGGTGGAAGCGGGCCAGGCAGACTCATAGTGGTCTGGGGTAGTGGAGTGGGGTCGGACCCAGCGCAGTGTGGGGGAGAGAGTGGGGTTGGACCTGACGCGCCCGGGGGGGCGGGGGAGGAGGCAGTGGGGTCAGACCCAATGACACAGGGGGAGGAAAGGAGCAGGGTCGGACCCAATTTGCTAGCATCAAACATAAATCCGCACTATCCAGATGGCAAATTTATTGGCTTACTGACTAAACTGATCATCATAGTTTGCAACAGTGTGAAAATACCCCCTCAAAAAAAGGAAAGATGTGTGAAACAAAGAAATTTGAAGAAAAGGATACTGATAAAGATACCAAGTATTAACAAGTCATTTTGACTGCAACAATGTCAAATAAGACAAAGAAAAATATTACTTGAGTTATTATTCAAAATATACACATCATATTTATACAGGCTAATAAAACAATATTTCTAATAGGCAAAGGAGTGTTAAATGCTCTCTTTTTTAATTAGTGAGAAATAATGCAAAAAAGAAATGACACTGCCACAAAGGCTGCATTGAAAAAGAAAGGCTTGTACATTTAAGAACAGAGGCGATAAGTAAGTTTCTGTCATGCTTCCCACCAATATACCCAATTCTAACATGAAGAGACAACCTCAGAAGAGATAGAGGGTGCTTTTATGTCTAGTTATTCAATCTTTTGCTTACTTTTTGCAACTGTCAAATGTGCTAACTGCAATGGTGATATAAAAAAAAATCTGTTTAGTAAGTGCCCCAATAATTTTCATAAGCTACTGAATGATTGTTAATTAGGTGTCAATAAATGGTTATTTCTAACAGGATCAGATTTTAAAAACTGGAAGTTCCTTCCTCCCATAAATAACTCCACTAAGCCCTCTACTTAGCCTAGCATGCATTTGGGTGATCTCCCTCTCACCTTTTAGTATATCATGTTTCAAGAAAATATGAACCCACAAAACATGATTAAGGCAGTAACAAATCTACATAATTCTGCACTACATGTTTTAGACAGTAACATGTTAGCACTGGAATGGTGAATTAAATTAATCCAATTCATTTCAAAAGAGAGTGGAGCCTAAGAAAAAGGTGATGTTTTTCTAATTTGCATTTTTACTTTCTTTATCAGTAAGCAAATGAAAAGGCAGAGTTAAAATTTTTCATCCCAGAAATGAAAACCCCTTATTATCAAGCTATATGGATATATTAGGGGAAACCTATACAAGGGACAATTCCAGGAAGTTAGAAAAGTATTTTGACTCCAGTGACTCTCCAGAGTAAGATCTGTAGGGGCGATACTCCCAGTCTTGTCTACACAATTCACCAGCATCAACTGACAAGCCCATGATCTTATACACTCCACTGATACAGAGAAAACTATATTCTATAGAAACATCAGTGACACTAAAACAAAGATGACAAGCCAACAGAAAAATGCAGAAAACATCTTACAGCACGAGAACTAGAAGCACTATACCGACGACTCCCACTGTAAATGCTCTCATCATACAGAGAAGCCTACAATTAAAACACAGAATCAGAATAGAACTGGTAGACTTTGATTTTGGTTTTAATCTGAAGCATTACAAGGTGGTACGGTGTAGCACAAAGGAAGGAAGAAGAGGAACAAACAAATGCAGAAGTAGTGACCTTTCCCAAATTTCATGAGTAGCATGCAAGTGAAGAATGAACCCAAACCTCAGGCTCCAGTGGGCTGTGAAACTCTACAGGACACATGCAGAATTTAAATAAGGTCCAAAATCATCATAAGAACATTCCTATAGTCATGCAATAATACTTCTGCAGTTCTTCAAACCATTAACTCTTAACAGTTAAAACTGCCCATTATGAAAGTGACAACATCAATCTATATCTATATATAGAAAAGCTATATCATATATTTTAAGTGCTGGATAAAGTAAGGAAAAGGAAAAAGAGAGATTCCAAGTAAGTTTTACTTAATATATATTACAGTTACAGCATTAATATAAATGAGCTGATGGAAAAGCATTTTCTAAACCACTACCATCTGGCTGCATTTTAGTAGACTGTTTTGCACAGTTACGTGACTAAGAAAATGCAGGGTAGAGTCTCCTGTTTCTCGTGTAATAATTTGATAATAAGTCAACCACAAACCAAACACATGAACAGTGGAAATTCTCTTCACAAGAAATATTACAGTTTATCTAACTTTTAAGGAAGGCAATTATTTTTTTTTAAACACTTTTTATCCTGCTGGGATCCTATGACCCCAGCTGACTTCCTGCCCTTTGGGCAGGGGGCTGGACTCGATGATCTTCCGAGGTCCCTTCCAGCCCTAATGTCTATGAAATTTATTTATTTATTTATTTATTTTTACAGGTCCAGTCAGAATTGATGTTGTCTCTTTCTGGTCTATATTTCAGTAATCTAAATCATACATTGACATAAAGACAAATGCCTTCAGTCAGAAGCCTGCAGTAACTTTACAGCTCTATCAGCAATGGTTTCAGAATCCCAATAGAAGTAAAATGGAGAACCAGCAAAACAGAGTTGACAAACACCATGGACATGTGCATTCCATTCAAATGGATCAAACACTAGTGACAATATAGCGTAACAGGAGTAAACTGGAACAACAATATATTCTTGATAAATTACAAGGGTCAAAGACAACTTCGGTATGGGTAAGAGCAAGTAGCTTCTGTATTTATGGTGAAGTGACAAAGGACAACAAACCCTGTAACTTCTGGCTGGCAGGACATCACTGTACAGCAAGGAGGGCTAGGGAAAACAAGTACAATAATTTTTTATAACAAAGAATGGAACACAAAAAACAAGTGCTTGTCTCAGAAGCATTCTTCCTAGTCAGACATGGTCACACTATTAAACTTCTGGAGCTATGAAGCAGGGAAACTCAATGTTCTCACGCTGTGTACAACATGGTACAGAAAGTATTACTAAAAAAATATCTGTGCTTAAATATCTGAAAGTCCAACTCCCAGCAATGAAGAGTATGAAGCAGACACATGCGTATTTCCAGCAGGAAGGGAGGTACCATGGTATGCAGAAGAAAAACAGAATAATTTAGTGTTAGGTCATTAATCCTCTTAGTCTCTCCTGGCTGCTGGCCATAAATGTATTATAGTTCGAGTCAAAGCCAGTACTGCCAAGAGTGATGTTGGCACAATATCCAAAGAGAGACAGGAAAATTTGTTAGGATATAGATATTTATATACTTAGAATGTTCCATGTGAGTTTTGAATCATTTGTGCCCTATTTTATAACTGAACAGAGAAAGAGAGAAAAATCAAATTATCAATAATCAGAAATGACAATTCTGAATACTCAAGTCAAGAAACTGTAAAATAAAATAGGAACTGTTGAGTGTATTCAAAAAACATTACTGTTAGTAAAATACATTCACAGGATGCAACAGTTAAGTTCAGAGAGCACAAAAAAGAAAACCTAATGTGGCTCTATTAGATACTGCATGAACTCTAACAGCAGTTGGTCCCAGACGGCCACACTACTCTAGTCTGCATGCAAAGTGGACAATTCAACCTCCAAGATCATTTAAAAAGCCTTGGTGATTTTTTTAAACAACAATGCATGACTTCATTTTTCTTGTAAATTAAAGTTTAAAACAATGGTTTCTTTCCGATTTGCCACCAGAAAAATCAACTGTCAAACTGAGCAGAAAAGTTGTTTCAGCAAAGGTGAAGAAGTCCAGGTATACTCCAAATCTCTTCCAAGATCAATTCAGGACAAATGTCAAAAGTAAAGAACAACGAAAAAGGAAAAATGCTGCATAACATCTTCATCTTAGCCATCTCAACAAAGTTTTCCATGAACTTTTCTTTTATTATTTATTAACTTGAAAACTTTTTCAGGCTGGAGATATTATAAACTCCTGGCTACCAAACAAATGGGTGCTACTTTGGCTCAAAGCCTTATTCATTAGTAATATAGGAGGTTGTATTGTCCAGGTTAAATCAGAGCAATAAAAGAGTCAAGCCCAGAGGAAATAGACAGTGACAGACCCGGCTTCCATTCTGGCAAGAAGGTTGGGATTTGGAAGTAAAGCCACTGCTGGGAAGACCAAGATCAGAGTAGTAAGAAGCCTGTAGCAACATGAAAAAACAACCTGAGAACTCTTCTTCATGTAAAGAAATTGCCAAATCCCCAATTCATTCATTTCAATAACAAAAAATAAATTGGGGTTTGAAAACAGCAATATTGGGATTTCAAAACAGAAATATTATTTGAACTATAAATTGAGGACATAATCAGATGTTACAAGAAGTGGGCTTAGAGAGAAAACATACACCTGGGTTAAGGAAAACATCCTGGAAGTCACAATAGAATGCAAGAATTGTTCACCCTGAAGGTCTCCAAAGACCAAAACAAAATTGTTCCTATTCCAGGGAAGGAGACTTTCTAATAAAAACTGTTAATATAGAACAGGGGAAGAAAAACAGAAAAAATAAAACAATAAAAGCCCAAGGTAAGTAAAATATTCAACAGCACCTAAGTGGCTTCAGTACCTAAACCCTATTTTTTAGAAGATACCAGTTCTTGAGGTGCTTAAGTCATTTAGGCACTTGAAATCTGATCCTTTCCCTAAACGTCTCCAATTCACCCTCATGATGCAGCCTAATACTTAAAGCTCTGAAGCCTAGTCAAAATCTGGTCATTATATTTTTCAAAGACTCAGCTGTGGAATTATCACTTTATGCAAAACAGCTGGTTATATACAGTTCATCTTTATTTCAAGTTTTAGGCTATTAGCTACAACAGCCAAGTGGCTTCCTAGGTAACACAGACTTATACAACTTGTTTCACAGTAATAATTATACAATATGCAGTCCCACCATTCTTGACAGTGTGCCAGTCCCTTCTTCTTCTAGATATAAAACAAAGCGAGACCTGTCAGGCTGGGAAAGCAATCACTTTAACCTATTTGTACATCCTTTGGGGGCGACCAGATGATAGGGTCCAGTTGGAGGTAAGCCTTCCCTAAACAGATGAAAAGTTCTCCCTGGGATTTTGCTTCTAGAGTAAACTTCAGTCTCCAGTTTGACTCTCATAACAGTGTTAGAATGCTCCATATGATACCTGCACACATCTGGAATACTCGTTACTGGGGGTGTGCGAACCGGGCCATATTTGATTTGCATTCGGATTCAGCCTGATTCGGGGGAAAGTGATTCAATTAGTTGATTTGGATCACTGTCCTGATTTGATTCAGCTGAAAATGAATCTGAAGATTTGATGCTGATTCAGAGAATCAGTGTTTCAGCCATAGACACAGCCCTAGATGTTTTTTCTACATACCTTGAGGTACCAGGCACAGCTCGTGAATGCTGAGATGGTGGGGCGGATGCAGCGTCCCACAGGAGCGCAGGGGTCCGCTGCCAAGTATGCAGTGGATGCCCCTGCCCCGCACCTTCTGGCTCAGCAATCAGCCAGGGGGGACCCTGGGTGCCCCCCCAGACCCAGGAGGTACCAGTCGCTGCGCCGGGGGGCGGGTCCCCCACGCGCTCGGCTGCAGACTTGGAAGTGGACTGGAAGTGCTTCTGGTCCACTTCCAGGTCTGGTGCCAAGAGCGGTGGGGACCCCCCTGCACTCCCAGGAGACACTTCATCCACCCCACCATCTCAGCGTTCATGAGCTCCCTGGTACCTTGAGGTATGTAGAAAAAACATTTAAAGCTGTATCTATGTCTGAATCATCGAATCTCCCCGAATTGATCCGGAGGGTTCCAACCTGATTCAGAGAGATTAAAGGGTCTCCTGATTCAACTTGGATTTGGAGTTTTGGCCACTGAATTGGGCCGAATCTCCGCCGAATCGAATCAGCATCTGAAGCTTCGCACAGCCCTACTCGCTACCTTCCAGTACAAAAGAGCAGTAAGTGGCAGTTCAACATAGTTAAAAAAGGAACAAACTGACTAGTTCTTCCCTTAGCCTGGAGTTCCAATAACTTAATGCAAAAAACAGATGCAAATTTGGAGACAGGGGACTGCATTTCAAAGCTAATCTATTGGCCTTGCATCCCTCATTCTATTCTAGTCCTTTCCCTTCCTTTTTCTTGTCCTTCATTTAGCAGAATTCACAGATTTGTTGGAATCGGACAGGACTGCACTATGCACGCTTCTGCTCTGGTCCATCCTGTTCCAGTGAGGCCAAGTGAAACAAAACATTCTAGAATAGCAGTAGAACAAAAACACTGAAAGGGCTGCTTGCTCTACAGGAGTGTTGGCATTCATCTTGATGGCTCAAGACAGAAAAGCTCTTACACTTGTTTTTAGTTTCAATTACTTCTTTATCAAGGTGTTCAACAAAATGTTTCCTCCCTCCACATTTAGTTGAAGCTATTAAATGCTCAGCCTGGACATTTGCTCTGGGAGTACAGCCAAAGGTGTTGCTTTGTGTCCATGTTGTCTACCAGATCTTTCCGCAGCGTAGTAAATCGGTGTCACAATGTGCTAGGTGTAAAGGTAGCACCTAGGAATATTTGAACAGCAACTTTTTGAGAGTTTAAGCTTTACTGAGGAGACTTCTGGCAGGAAAGAAGAGCATGTCAGGATGGCTCACACAGCGTAAGTGAAGCAAGAAAGATGCTTCTTCCCTACCTTCTTCAAAAAGCAATTAAATTCTTGTCTCCGAGATTCACTGGGAGATGGCCTCCTCAAATGGAATAACTGACTTCGCTCAAGGAGAGCACTGGTGCACCTAGCTCAGGATAGCTGATAAAGTGCAACTAGAAGCTAGGTACAGCATAGAACTTCTCAGACTCCCTTAACAGATTTATACTTTTTTTATTTTTTATTTAAGGCTGCCCCTATTCTGATTGTATCAAATTGTCAAACTGTGAATGGTGCAAGACAAAGAATTCCTCTGAAACTATAGGAAAATGAAATTGCCACTAAACAGGTTTGCCTACAAATACTGGATAAGCTCTGGCTTGCTAACAAGAAAGGTAATAACTTCGAGCATTACTGATCGAAGTTTGCCCTCAGGATCTTTTCCTGTGATTCTTTTCCCATGAGCTCAAATTTGGGAATCAGATCGCCCAGTTTTTCAGGGAAAATGGAGGAAAATGGAGAAATGAAGAACAGAAAAGGAATTACATTCCTCTGATACACTCTGATCTTCTGTACTGAATGGTGGAGACCCCAGAGGGAGAGGCTATGTAACTCAGCCTAGCAAAATTCTGTAACAGAGCAGGTTTAAAATATGGTCTGTTCCTGCAGTCACAAAAGAAGCCTGGTGAAGCAAAAGAGTGAAAACCAGTCCTACTGAACTCCCTAAAATTTATTTGTACGTTTCTGTGCTATACAATGGTGCCAGGAAACCTGACAGGACCAAGTACTTTCTCTGACAGGTGACCACAGGGCATGAAGCCAAACATTTTTCCTGATTCCCCTTTCTTAACAGAAACAGGTGACAACCCACTGTCAGGTATGGCAAGATTGATTATGAAGAAAAATCTATGCAAGGTACCACTCAAATTAAAACCTCTTGTTTGTGAGTTCAAGGTCACACTAGCAGTCTCCTCTCCAGTACCTCGCTGACATGAATTCAGGTCAGCAGCTGACCTGCCCAACTTGTAAGATCAGGAACATTTAATGCAATTTCTAGGCAAACAGAGAAAAAGCATGAACTGCTGACAACTTTAAAGTGTTTATAATATTTACGTGACTGATGGGAGGTGTAGGACACACTGGGAGAGACTTAAAACGTAAGCAAGCAAGACACTCACTCTTTCAGAGAGGTTCTTAATATATCTACAAGTAGCTTGTATGGTGGCATGCGGGAGTGGAAGGGGACAACTATAACCCTGATGGAGAGCACAAAGGTATTTCGAATAGTGGGTCTTTTAAAAATAATTTTGGATAGTGTAGGCAAACTACGCTTACCAGGTTGCAAACCTTCAGATAGCAGAAATGCAGCTTACAATACTGAATAAGATTCAATGTTCAGTTTCCCAAAAGCTTTAGGAAATACATTTATAAGTATAGAATGTATTTGATGTAGCATGCACTAACATCCACACAACTTCCAATGGTTAATTCATATAACTAAAAACGGTTACATTTTACATGCATAAATGCATACATTTACAAATTAAAACCTGTTTATGTTTTAGGTGTGTAGGATATAAATCTATATTCTTTTGAGGAGGAAATATGTATATTTTATGAAGGCGGCAATGGATCCGAACAAATGCAGTCACTATGGAAACTTTGCATATCTTCCTTTCTTGTTTCCACAAAAATAATGATTGTTTGTGAAATGGCTGCCAGGAGTAATCCAAGAGCAGAAGGGTGATAAAAATCAGTTCACACCAAGGATTACAAGGCCCCTTATAAACCAGGGCAGGGTTGCTGGCCCTTTTGACTATTTACTTGATGTGAATTATGTAAACAGGCAAACCAGTACAGCTCACCTCACAGTAGAAAGTGAACTTGTATAGTTAAATTTATAAAGTCCTTTAAGAACGTAGATACCAACTGCTCTCTAAACAAGAAAATACAGGAACGGACAAAAGGACTGCCTGCTCCTAAAGAACCTCATTTTTCCCATTTTCCTCTCTCCCGTACCACATTACAATTACCCACTTAACATGTCTCTTCATTCATTTATACAAGTAATTTGACTTGAGGCATGATGTTTTATTTTCATTAGTAATAAATAATTTACTCAACTTTTTTACAAACAATAACTAATATCTGCACTGGACTGAGATATTACCTTACTGACTTCTTGTACAAATGAGGGAACAGAGGCAGATGATTAAGTAACTTGCCCATTTGTAAGACTGTTCAGATTTCTGACAGTAGTGAACAACACTGTATCGGGGGGAAAAAAAAAATCACTCCTAGAAGTGGGAGTTGAGTACATCAGTGGAAAAAATTCACAGTTCAATAAGAGAACAGTTTAAGTCCTTCTGCATACAATTTAATTAATATTTCTCATTAGGTGACTAAAAAGGAAGATTTCCATTGGAGATAATATGAGGGCTCATTCAAGATTAACTGCATTAGGGAGTTACTCTTTTCCTGTTACAAGATCTTGGAATTCAATCATAGGACATCACTGCAATAATCATTATCTATTTTTTAGTGGCTCACTGGACTGTGATAAGATTTCAGGTTACAAATTCAACTACCACACCACATGCACACCACGTTACATTTTGCGATCCTGCACTCTATTATTATAGTTTGGAATAAGGGTGTAATACTGGTCAGACTCATTACTGTAAAACAAAGTTTTTGTTCTGTTCTTTACCCTCACTGATTTCTTGACAGCAACCTTCACTCCCAAACAAAAATACCCTACTTAGGCTGTCACAATCTGGATGCCAGCAAGACAGGCACTGAGTAGGTGGAGTTCATTATGCTCCTATAAAGATAGTAAGACAGCAACTGTTTTACTGTCCCCTCTCAAACCCCACTCCCATTTTAGATGGTGATTAATCTGAATTATGGTTGGTAATGAAGGTATTAAGGAATGAATTGAGTGGCTGTTGTCATATGCTCTATTATAAATCTTCATGCTGCAAACTCTGAAGATTCCATGGGGATCATTTAAATATTAAACTGGAAACCAACCAACTTCTCTTCCCCGAATGACTTCCTTGTAGACTTTTTGCTCTCCCCGCTGTAGCCATAGCTCTGGAGTACATCATTAAAGAACAAGAACATAATTTATCAGAACTGCTGGCACAATTCAAAAGAATAAAAGTTCCTTGAAAAGCAGGTCACTATACTGTTCTCTCTTTGTCAAACAGTTCAGCGAGACTGGCAATATAAGAACAGAACATTTGTTTTCTTAGTCGTTTAAGTACAATTTGATCTTTGGCTGAAGTCCCCATTACAATTTCAGTTTGCTTATTGTAAGTTTAAGGCAGGTATAATTTAGAAGTCCAACTATATATTTAATTATATCCACTTATTTATTGAGACTTGCTGAATTTCTCATGGTACATGACCAGGCATCTTGAGTTTTGACTACCATGACTCTTTATAAACTGTTCAACAGGTTTTTTTAAATAAAACTTAAGTTTACTTCACTTATTTCATTCACTATGTTCTGTATGCATGACAAATATATAGAACAGTTAAGGCTACAAGAAAAAACAGTTTACAAATGACATAAAAAATAAGCCCCTATATTATGCTACCCATATAAGCCCATAAGCAGTCCCCAACTAAATTCAACAGGATTGTTCAAAAGCTTTGAGTTAAGCACGCGTTTAAAATGCTTTGCCAAACAGTACTGAGAACCTTCATACATGCTTCTAGTACAGGCTTCTAGTCTGCACATTAATGAGTCCTGTTTTTTTAAAGATAGGCAAATCCCAGAGATCAGAAAGGCAGCTAGCTCCAGGAACTTTGCCTGTGTGGAGTAAACACAGGACAAGGGAAAAACCTTAAAGGAAATAATTTGCAGAACACTACATTACACAAAAAGCTAGACAAGTCTCAGATTGGCCTACAGAACTTGTACTAAAAAGCAAGGTATTGAATCATAATGATTATGCATACACCACGAAGCTGAGTTAATGATGAAGCTAACCTTTTGTGATTTGAGTGTGCAACCTTACTGGTTGAATTACAGATTTTCGACATGGTACACGAGACTATATAAATATAACAACTGCTTTATATGTTGTTTATTTGTCTGCTGAAGTTTCCAGAAAAAACACATTTTTTGCTTTTATGAGAAATAATTTTTATAGCCACATATATCATAATTGATATTATCTGGATTGACCTGAATAGAGGAGAACAATTTTAAAAAGCTCAGAATTTAACAAAAGGATTAGCCTTTCCATTTCAGATTAGGAATTTAAAATGTTTACATAGGGAAACAATGACTTAAAGAGATGAACCAGTTCAGGTCCAAATTCAAATGACAAATTGCACCCTTTTAAATAATGCATTCAGGCGATCCATAGCCTCCAATTCACACTAGATACCTACTATCAAAATGATATTTTTCCCTGCAATATGACTTTTGGCCAATTTAAGTTCAAAGCACAGGCTATATAATAAAGTAATAATTGGGTGCCAAAGTCATCTTGCCTGTGTCATTTTTTATGGATTCCTTGCAGTAGCCCTATTACGAACTACAAGAACTGTATTAAGGAAGCCAGGAAACACCTGCTTTACAAGGCAGGCACTCAAATGTGACCATCTGCTTCAGGACAGACTCTAGTAGGAGACAGCTGATTTTTGTCCTAATTAAGAAGCATGTATATTAATTCCATGAACTCAAAAATATAGATTTTTTCTTTAAAAAGCAAATTCTCTACTAACCCTGCTAGACTTTCTATTCTGGGATGATCCGTACATGTCTTCATCATAACCATTGGTCTGTCATGAGAAAAAAGGAAAGAAAAACTAAAACAAAAACTAGAGGTTTAACTGAAAGTCGACATTTATGAAGAACCAAAGCATAGAGGGTGCTTTTCATAAGAACAATACACCAGGGACAGCAGCTGCACATAATGAAGATCCATCAAGGATGAAAATGATTTTAAAAACAACTCATAGTAAGACCTCAAGAACACTTGAGTTGTGTCTCCCAGCAGAACCTGTAAACCAGCCAAAGATGTCAAGGATGTTGTCCCTGCTTTCAACACAATTTTTTTTGGTAACATGGTATAGTAGCAGAGTATTGCAAGCTCCTCAACCTCTGAGGAAGAAAAGTCTAATGATAAGAAAAAACCCCACCAAAACCTAGCACAAACATTTCCTTTTTTTCCTGGCAGCTAAATTTTAAATGAAATGCCATACTATAATGAAACACTTTTCTCAACATTGTTAGCCAGGATTAAAACCACTAAATTTCGCTTTTTAAAAATAATACTGCACAAGATCTCTTACACTGGACTTCCCCCATTCTTTATTTACATCATCTTCAAATGTAGACAACAAACATTTTCCCTATACAGGAAAAGGGGGTTAGGAGGGAGGGAGAGAAGAGGCAAAAACTTACACTGGTCTCTTACATTTCTTGATTTCATTTACTTTCCTCTGTTCTTAAGGATTACCTCTCTATAATCTTCCCGACTGATGTGGGCATTATTCTCTTCACAAAAAATTAATACATTTTAAGAATCAGTTATTCATGAGCAGTGCAAGGTGTTTCAGCCCCTGCTATGATATGGAAATCAGAAGCCAAATAATGGTCCAATACATAGGAATGGCTCTGTTTTTAGTACAAAGATGCTCCAAACTTATACCAAAAGTTCTGCAACTCGTGGTCCCCTGTCCTGATGGCCACCAACATCTTAAATCAGCTTGACAGTTAATTTTATAGCAGCCATTTTACATTATGAAGTCTTTTGTAAAAGCCAGTTAATTAAACTTGTAAATTTATTTTAATTAAAAACTAAAACTTACATTTTAGTTATTTCTGAAGTGAAAACCAGCTAAACCAGTTTAAATTTGTTATTAAATAAAATTCAATTGCATAATGAAAAATGATTTATGTGAAAACAGCCTAAAGTCAATTAAAAACAAAACAACAGAATTTGCAATATAACCCCTGATCAATGTTTTGCTGTGCTCACACCAGAACGCATCATTGCGACAAACTGCAGAAGTATAGGGCTCAAAGAGACATCAAGAGATCTGCTAGTCCATCTACTGCTCTGGAGGCATTGTAAGTATATTAAGACCATCCTTAAGAGACTTATATCTAATCTGTTCTTAACCTTCCATGGAACTTTCCTAACCAATGTAAATTGCTGTTCCAATGCTTAGCTATCCAACTATTAAGAATTGCTCTTTTAATATTAAAACTAAGCTTCAGCAAAGAAAATTCAATCCGCTTTCTTCCTACTCTTCTGCTAGATTAAAACCATTAATCACACTTCTCCTAGAAGAAACCTTTACATGTTGGAAGATTTACTTCTCTTTCTTAGCTTTCTCTTTTCTAGGATTAGCATAGTTCCTTCAACTATTCTCCATGTTTCTTGAAGCACAATGCCCAAAAATTGGGCACGTTATTTCACCTGAGGTCTCAATAGAGCTGAGCAGAACATCCTAATTACCTCCCATATCTCTCTCACACAATTTATTTTCTTATAATTAAAATTTGCCTATTTTGCAGCAGTATTTCATTAAGTCATGTCATGATCCAAAGTAGAAGTCTTGTTGGCTAGAAATGTGCCAGTACTGCTGGCTAGCTACTTATTCTTCATTTTGGATTTGTGCATTTGATTTCCTCTTCTAAAATGTAATACTTTACATTTAATGTTGTTGATTAGCTTATTTCATGTAATTTATCCAATTTATCAAGAGTATTTGAATTCTAATTCTGTCCTCAAAGGTATTTGCAACTCCCTTTCCCACTTGGTATCTTCTGCAGAATATCTAAAAAATACCCTCAGGTCTGTCAGCCAGGTCATTAACTAAAATAGTGACTACAACCACAGTCAGGAAAGTTCCTTGAAGGACCCCACTTAAAACTATCTCCCAGTCTGCCAGCAAAATCTAAATACTGAGTGCATTTTTCCCCAATCATTTGTAAGCTTACTTTATGACAATTTAATCTAGACCAGTGGTTCTCAAACTTTTATTTTCGTGGACCACTTTAAAATTGCTGAGGGTCTCAGCGGACCACTTAATAAACTTTTTTTTGTTCTACAAATCAAAGCACAAAACTCATATTTTAATATTAGTAGTCTTACCTTACAAGTACAGATGTTCTTGATTGTTCCGCAACCTTTCTAAGGACCACCTGAATTGAGCTCGCGGACCAGTGATCTGTGGACCAGTTTGAGAACCTCTGATCTAGACCATATTTCCTTAGTTTGCTCATGAGAATATCATGTGGGATAATGACATATCCCTTAAGTTAAGGTATATCACAAATTTACTGCTTCTTCCTTAGCTACTAGGCTCATTCTCCTGGTCAAAGAAAGAAATAAGATTGGTTTGACATGATTTGCTCTTGACAAATCCCTATTGGCTGTTTACTTCATTATCTTTTAGATGCTTAAAAAGTGATTCTTTAATCTTTTTTAATACAGTGCAGGTATCAAAATTACACTGACTGGTCTACAATTAATTAGCCCTTTCTTTTCCACCATTTAAGGAGAGGTATTATATTGGCTCTGCTTCAGCTCTTTCACAACTCAATCATTCCTTCATGAGTTTTTAAAGGTAAAAGCTACTAAATACAGATATTTCTTGACTAATTATTTAAGCCAAACACATTCTAGGGGAAATGTCATCTGACCTTTCAAACTTGACTAACTTATTTAAAAATGCTGTCACCTGTTCTTTCCGAAGTCTGGCTTTCACTGCTAGTTAATTTAGTTATCTGGTCACAATTAACTTCTTTGAAAGACTGAAGCAAAAAAAGTATTGGGTAATTCTACTTTTCTGTGATTTGCTCTCTTATACAGTATGCAATGGACCTGCATTTTCCCCTGTCTTCTTATTACTAATGAATTTATAAAACTTTTCCTTGCTGCTTTTTATTTTCCTTGACAATTTTTAACTCATTATGCACTTTAGCCCTTTTCATTTTCTCTCCACGTCTGTCATGTTTGTGATATTCTTTCATGCCCATCCTTAATCATGTGTCTGCTTCAAAAAAAAGGTGCCATTTAAATTTTTTTTTACTGTCAGAGCTGGTCCCCAAAAATGCTTCCAATGTTTCCTTCATTTTGGGATAGTTTAGCATTGTGTCTTTACTAAAGGCTTTTTCAGTAACTACCATATATCCTGTACTTCATTTCTTAAACTCCCTAGAGAACCCAATGAACAATTATGAGTCTTTTTAAGTCTGTTTCTCCCTTACTTCCCCCACTTATATTTTTGGCAATTAATTTTTTTATTCTACTGTCCTCCTACTTTCCTTCCCTTGGAATCAGGTACTCTCAGATTATGATCGTTACCCAAATTATCTACCACCTTTAGACTATTAAACAGCTCCTTCCTATTAAAGCAAAATCAAATGCGAAATGGCCACTCCCCTGGTAGCTTACTCCAAGGGAGTTTCTAATTGCAGCAGACATTTCAAATCATGTCAGACAATCTTTACTTTGAATATCCACTTTATTAAGCACTAGTGAAAACTAAAAATGTTTAAGTAACAATAGAACTCATGGTGGGGGAAAAAGAGAAAGTCAGAATTTCATTTTTAATCTATTCTCCCAGTCTCACAGATCCATGAAGTAATACATAAATTCTCCTGAAAAGTTTGTGAACTGGCATGCCACAGAGGATTAATATTGTTGTAGCTACTAGAAAGACTTATTTTTGGTCACTGATTTTACGGAAGATGCGATTATTTGCTATGAACACTCACTGAAAAGCATTCCAGCTTTCTGATAGTTTTTCTTCTTCTTATTATTATTATTATTACCATCCATGTACTGAGAAAAGCTTGATTGACATGAATGCGATTCAGACCTTGATACTGTATACACTCATGCAACATGCTTAACTTCAAAATTCTTAATAAAAGTTACTATGCATGAATCTGATAGACCAAAGTAAGCATTTGACAACTTTTTAGGTCCACAGCAAAAGTGAAATACTAATTAAGATATGGTTTGCACTAAATGCAACACTCCCACTTGTACTAAAAAAATTCTACTTGTTATTTTCCTGTAAAAGCCCCATCACACGTTCAAGGAAATGCTGGTTTTTCTGATCTGGAAAAACAGGCAACAACTCTGGCATAAAAGCAATGCAACAGGAAGAACTCAGGTTGTGGAAGTAATTTACCTCTGATAACATGCCATTCAATGCTTTGGATAACCAACTCTGTGCTCCTACTTGTGAGCAACCCTGAAAATCTATTTTTCCAAAGTAAAAGATTCCAAAGGTGTTTGTTTGTTAAAACAGGTCATTATTGGATTCCTGGTAGCATTTTTTTCTTTTTTCTAAAACAGAAAACTGTTTTTAAGTACTTGGAAACTAAATTGCTAGAAGTTTCACTAAATGATTTAAAAATCATTCAGTCACTATGTATTTTAAGTATGCCAGCCCTTTTACTACCTGAAAAAAAATCTGCAATTCTCCCCCTCGCCGCCTCCCCTGGAAAAACACAGCCATAACCACCTCTCACATACTGTTACATTAGTGCCATCTTTTTCTACATACTGTCACACATTCACCTAATATCTGAAGTTATTTATCATGTTCACACTGCTCTATATAAGCAGCATTGCTGCGTAACCATTTCAACTGATAGAACAAATGGATGTCTGATGCTCACACAATCACAAGGGGTGCCAGGATATGCTTGACAATAGGCTGGTTGCAAGGATAAACAACAAACTATCTGGTCCAACGTGGCTAAACTCTATACCAGGCACTTTGATAATTCTTTCCAGCCCCATCAAAGCATTGTGTGAAATTTCTCAGAGGAAGGACAGTCTAAATACATACAGCTTTGGAGTTGTTCTTCTTTTTGGTCCACTCATTTTCTAATCCAGCCTGCAGTGAGATTAAGAATGCAGGATGAAAAGATCAGTTAACTCCTTCTCCCACCTTCTTCCCACCCCCTACCATCTTCCTCATATCCAGTCATGCAGACCTACATGCAAAAACAAAAACACCACACTTTGTATAATGATTTCTAATTTAGAGGAATACCAGTGTGTACACACAATGTAAGTATAGAAAACAGACCCATTCCAGAATCAAACTGAAGTTGTATTAAAGATGATTAAAGAGACTTAGGTAGTACTGTTTAAATTAGTAGCTAGACTTCAAATTATGTATGCTTACTAGGTTAAATCAATTAATAAAGCCACCTACTATATATACACTTACTACAGCAATACATCCATGCACAAATCCAACACAAGTGTTAGCACTGTAACTGCATATAGACCAACGACCTTTAAAACAAACAAAAAACCCCAGGATAACAAAGTATGATGGCAGGAGTACTTGAACGGAAAAAATTGGTTTTGTCTCATATTTCTGTTTCTTATAACCTATTAACTAGTGAATTTTGTAGGGTACTGACTTTACACTTGAAGAAAGAAAGTCCATCTTCAAAGCAAGTAAAATAAAGAGGGGCACTACAAGTTTCTCCACTCTGCCCAAGAAGGACCTACATCTCTAGTTATATGTCAGTTTATTGTCCTTGTTCATTCAGGCTAAGTACAGATGATCAAAATAACTAAGGCTGAATCGATTCAATCTTCTCAGGTTAGTTTAAACTGTGCAGATCAAACTGATAAGCAAGTTAACAGACATTCACTTTTGACTCTGGAAATGCAACCACATGCCTGCAGTTTGTTCAGGCCAGAGCATGCCTCCCCGCTCAGCTGGAGCAGACAGCTTGAATCTGAAGGGGATCTGGGACAGAAGTTCAATAAACTGATTTAACTTAACTGATTTAAATGTGATACTACATCCATCCAGGTTCATCTGAAACCAGTTTCAGCCATTTTGAAAGTGGTTTATGGGCACTGAACTTCTGTTGTGTTACAGATTTGAACCGGTTTCTAATCACTTATACCAGTTTAGGTGTATTTTGTGTCCCTAACCTCAGCGCTTGCCCCCGAAACAAACATTTCACATACTGGTAAGTGAGTCTTTTTCCTTGCTCTTATGATTTTGACATGGACCCCTTAAGACTGCATTAGGATCTTTGTTCTTTGGATCACCACCTCTACCACTGCTGAGATACAGGAGTTAGTGTTAGTCTTTCAGTTTTTAAACATACATTGATTTGTTAAACTATTCTCACCACTGGATAGGCACTGGCATACTCCAAGTCAGACTGTCAGGATCAGGAGAAGAAACAAAGTTTCAGAACACAAAGAAGAGAAGATGGCAAATCAGAGAAACAGACACTGAGGTATAAATTCATTTTAAAATGCCATCTGTTTTTTGATATCAGGACTGCTACCACAGGGCTAGAGATCAGGAATTTCAGCAACTAGCATCAAGTGAAGAGGGAAAACCCCCCCAAAAGGATAACTATGCACACACTACATCAGTGTTAGGTGATACTGTGACAACATTGCACCTAGTATGATTTTGGAAGTGAAACTCAGCTCTGTAAAGTTATCAAAATGGGTAACATTTGCAGGGAAAGAATGAAATCTGAATCAGATATCCTGAAAACAAGTAGGATTGTATTCTGTGAGCTTCTCTGTAATAAATATCATTTAAAAGGTACACAAGCTTGCAGTTTCCAGAGTGGTCAGATCCTGTGGGGATTTTATCTATCCCAGCCACAAGAATGTATTTTAGGGTATGTATACACTGCAGTATACGAGGCCCAGTCCAAATGCTCTCAATGGGTATGCACAGAACCCCAAACGTTGACTTTCACAGAGTCAAAGCCTATTGTGTTTTTTTGTTTTGGTTTATTTTTAAACTGTAATAAGAGTAGTCAGGTGTGGTATGACTTTAGGCAGATCTATTTTCAAAAAAACAAAACAGAACAAAAAACCTGTGTAATGAGAGAAGTGCTTGAGAGGAAATAAAGCATACATCTTCCATTAAACTAGAAGTTTTCCACCAAAGAAGAGCGTTTTCATAAATGTAATCCATAGATATTTACAGGCCGAATCTGCAGCTGGTGCTATTTATATACAGACTGCCAGGAAAATATAGTGCTTTGCACCAGCTGAAGATTTGCACTTAAAACTGCAGGAGAGAAACTAGATATTATATATTTTTCTCAAAAGAACTGTGACCAGTGAAAGTGAAATGCCAGTTTTAATTCCCAATGGACATCAGAATAAAGTGAACTGATGTCTAATAAAGACTAATTTTTTATGACGTTTTATGACATTTCAGTTATAATCCTCCTTGCAGGCCATGGGACAGTTATATTCAGGTTGTATATTCCTTTTGACTGAAAAAGCACCCACAAAAAGCAGAATTGAAACCAAGGGTCCCAGTGATGAAAGAATTTAAGATACCGCCTCCCCCCCACCCACTGCCAGTCTTATCAAGTTTAATTGTACTGCAAATCAGACATCACATTTATTTTTTCCTCTCATCACTAAGGAAAAAACTCTTCACTTTCTCTTTAGAGAAACGCACAGTCATTAAAATATTTTACTTGTATTGAGTGAAATTAACACTTCACTTCAGAGGATTGGGAGCTTAATAGTCAAATCAGTGTCATGTCATGACCAACATATGAATGACATACAAAAATAAGCACAACCTTTCTGTACAAGGTAGAAACTAGGATTAATATGAATCCTACCTTGAATTATAAAAAAAACTTCACTTTGTGACTAAGTTATTCAGTTCATCCAGGTAACTAACACAAAGCAACATTTGGAGTTATTTTATATGTAACCAGGAAGTTTTCACAGAAATAAAAGCAAAAAAACCTATTCTTGGATTGGAAAGTTTCTTAAAAAATTTGGCTCAGACACACACGAAATGGTTTTGCCTCAGTGCCCAACCCCATTTCAGAGACAGATGCCAAGCTCTAAATATCTCAAATTGAGCAGCTCAGAGAAAGTAGCCATCTGCATTCCCAGAGTGCTTAATACAGGTTCACATGAAAAGTATAAACACGGGTTCATAGTAACATTCAACTCTTATGCTTTCCCAAATGTTGTTAGTTTAAGCTCTTGAACACTGACCTCAAAGCGAATGCTTCATTTTTCCCCAGTGTTGATTACAATATGGAGAAGCTAGGAAGTATCTGTAAATGAAAGCCTGTAGACCAACATTTTAACTAAATACCTTCTTCAGTGATTAGCTATGAGAATATTTAGCACAGAAAATAATATCTAAAGAATGTTATGCTTTTTTTCTATTCATACTTACAATTTAATGTATATGAAATGCCTATACAGTTCTTATTTGAGAGAACACATAGCCTTGAGGTAGGCCTGCAAAGTATAAGCCTACAGTAAGGCAAAATTGGAAGATTTGAGAGAGAAGAGATCATCAGAGTTCTAGAAGGGATGACAAGTAACCTATTCCAAGATGCAGAAGAACAACAACTTCAATAAAAATTCACACACATTTAATTGTACAATTTACTAACCCTCAAGCTTCCACGGCTACCCACTGACATGCGCTCATCTTCATCCGAAGCCTATTAAAAGAAAATACAAAAAAAAACCCCAAGAAGAAAAGAGTGAAAAGAATACAGATAATGAGTAATGAAGCAAATGCAGATAGTATCAGAGACACAGAAAGCTGAATTGGAAAGTGGTGGGGCAGAAATTGGGCTAAGCATCTTAAAACAATGCTCAGTATATCTTACTTACTTTAATCAAACAAGAGCATCTAAAACACACATCGAAGCATTCTACTGGAGTCTGAATGAGGTAAGAAGTTACACAGCCAATCCCTAGGCTATGTTTGGTTCATAGTCCATACTGTTTATTGTTCGTTTTTCTCTCCCTCTGGTCTGGAAAACTCATAAAAGTTCTCCAGAATCAAGAGATGACACAATGTAAATACATTTTAAAGACAGATTACCATCATGCAAAGTATAAAGAACGAACGAAAGAAAATACTAACCGAAGCATTTCTTCTGGATTTACGGGAATAACGCTCACTGTCTTCCTACCAAGGCAGCAGAGAAATCAAGAATGAGATGTTGAAAGAAAAAGAAATACCAAAAAAATGATTTCAGAAAGAAACAATGAAAAGTCAGCAGTGTTTAGAAGGAAACTGGACTTAGCAAGGTTAAATCAGATGACAACAAATGACACTGGAAACTGAGGGAAAAAATGATATACCTATTTCCTTTACTTGTCCTCCATTATTTCTTCCTTATCCCCTCCACTTTACTATATGTTTCTAGAATATCAATGGCAAACTGTGTACTTTGGTTATTTCATTTGTACCTTGAAGATAATAGGAGAAACACTGATCAAGACGGTCAAATTTATTATCTTAGTATGTCTAGGAGCCCAAGTAACAACAGTTCTTTTCACAGCTAAGATTTCTAGTCTACAGCAGCTTCAGAAAAAGTCTATTTCATATAAACTGTAGAAAAGTCTACCCAGGAAAGGTGAGAAGGCAATTAATATGAAATATGAATTTAAGACTTATAACATGCTAAAAGAATGTACATTCTATTTACAATCACTAGAATGTACCACATCTTGCCTTATGAGGGACTTAAAGATTCTGTTAACAACATCAGTGTTGCAGGATGTATTCAATTTTAATAAAACGGTTTTAAATGATATTTAGTGAAAAAAGTGTTTAAAAGTAAAAAAATAAAAATTGGTTAATACTGCATAACTACATTTGTCGTATTCAAGTTGTTTAAAACATGCTCATTTTTCAAGCAAAATTAAATAAGTGTTCTGTAGTTAAACGGCACAACTCCACAAAAGGGCTAAAATTCTGATCTAGGAAGCACTACAGATGGTGAGCCCTACATCTGAAGAAAGCACAAGATCCAAAGTGACGTAACGACTGATTTGAGATCCTCAGGGCACACCAGACACTTTACTTTGTTCAGGATGGTAAGTCATCAGGATGATGGTTCTTAATTAGGAATTAACTAAGAAAATTTCTATGCATGGGGCAAACCACTGAACTTCTAAAAATTAACTTCCATATTGTGATTGTCAGGTGTAACCAAAAAGACAAGATGGGGAAGGAGATGTCCCTTCAACATAGTATCTGAAGAGCAACACTATAGGTCGCATGGCAAAACCACTAAGCCTGGAAACTACAGCCTTCTCTAGTTTCCAACTAGTGGCTGACTCTTTAAATTGAGTGTCAAGGAATAATTTTTATGAAAATTAAAATAATAATAATAATAAACAAACAAACAAAATCTGGCCTTTTAAGCAACTCTTTCAGACTCATGACATCTGTTAGACAGATATTCTTAATAATTTAGTCCATGTATGCTGTCTAGCTTAATGGTTTATAGATTAATAAAACCCAAACATTTGGATTTCAGGCTCTCTCTAAGCAATGCATTAGTTTTGCAATGTGAAGGGGGTTCACCACACTGTTTGTCCTTAAAACCACAAGATTTAAGGTATAGTTGAAAACTGCAGGTTCAGTTTTAAAAATAACTGTGGATCTATGATTACAACCTACCAAGATTTGTGCTTTTGCTTAAGCTAAGGAACAGCTGCTGAGAGAGCTTCCATTGTCACCAAAAAAAAAAAAAAAAATCACAAATGCACAATAAAGTTGTATATATTGCTAATGTTAACAATGGTTTTAATGTGTGGCTATGTGAGTTCAGATTGCAAGAGCCTTATTACAAGGGCTGGACATCAATTCTTCAAATACAGCAATATACCTACTCTATAAACTCTTAAAGTGAAAATTGTTCTTCAATGTTTAAAATTGTTTAATTCTGTTGGTCAAGCCTACCATCCATTGCTCGATGTCACCCCACTTAGTATCCAGACCATAATATTTCTACAGATAGAAAAGGGAAAAACAGAATTTAGATGAGAAAGATAAGCAGTGAACTTTATACATACAGTTGCCAGGGCTTAGCTGAGCAGTAGTCTCACACACGCACACACACACAGATTAGATAAACATGCCAGGGAAAAGCTGCAAACTGTAGCATTGGAATCTCTTCTGAAAGCATTGTTTAGAGCAACGCATGTCCAAACAATGTTCCTTACGCACAAGAAGCTGTTTTCTATGTATAATCACAGGTCAGCGCCATGGAGGAAGGCACAAAGAAGGGAGAGTAATAAGCCGTGGTTCCTCACCCATTTCAGTAAAGGATTTTAAAAGCACACTTTCAAGGTGAAACGTGCTGTCAAATCATGTTGTACTGTATAGTTTTGCCTACTTGGGAAGAAGAGAAGCTCATTTAAATGGACCAACTGATGATCTCCATCTATTTTTATGGAAGTAGTGAACAGCTCTTAAATGGTCCTTTACAGACGTGTGAATAGACTTCTGTCTAGCAGCAGCACCAGGGTCAGAGTCGGGGTCAGAGCTGCAGCAGCAGCTGTCTGCCCTTACCCCCAACACACACACTTGTACACGAATCCCAGATTAGGGGCTTCCCCTTCTTCCTGCCCACCCCATGTTAACTGAGGGGGGGAAATCATCTTGGATTTGAATACATATGATCTTAAGATCTGATACATGGAAAATTATAAATCAATTATAATTTATTGGAGGACCATCTTAATTTCATGATTATTGAATCTAATTATTGGAGGGTCATCTTAATTGCATGGCCTGTACTGCTGTGGCAGGGAAAGCAGTGGTATAACCCTTCCCCACTCAAGCCACTTCCCTACATGCCGCCCAGTGTCTGCGTAGCCTGATACCATCCTGATCCCCACCTCCCGGCCACCACTCACCCTATGGGGCAGCTCTAGTTTCAGCCAGGAAGCAGCAGCAGCTTCAGCCCAAGCCTTGGACAAGAGCTAGAGCTGCTCCACAATCTCCCCTGAGCTCCTCCCAGGCTACACACTGCACAGGCTTCTTACTCTCTCCCCTACCTCATGAGCCACATAAAGGCTGGCCAAGGGCAGGTGTCAGCTGTGGGCCGTCTTGGGCCAGTAGTGAAATCCAAGACAAGGCTTTTTGGACCACTGAATGGGGGAAGGCAGGGGTAGGGAAGGTAGAATGTGTAAAACAGACTTCATCTTGGATTCGAGTAACTATATGGAGCATTAAGAGAACATCATGTTTCTAGATCACAAAGAAAGAGACCATGATTCAGCAAAGTACTTAACCATGTGCTTACCTTTAAAAAGGCAAAAGGCAGGTCAGGGTGGTACCTTAGAGACCAAATAATTCAGAAATACATTAAGTCTAAGGCGCCACCCTGCCCTGTCCTCTGCCTGACTACAGACTTACGCAGCTAACTACCCCTCTTCAAATATGCAAATCCTAACCTTTTCCAAAAACCTTTAAGCATGGGTGTGAACACATCTTTTTGACTTGGCTAGCCCCAGTGCAAGTGTAGTATAACTTCCTCCTTCAGCTTTAAGTGTTCAGAAAACTTAAATGGTACTTGAAAATAGAGGTTAATACATTTCTGTTCTTTCTTCAACAACTGGCAATAGTTACAAGCTCTAACACTTTCATCAAAGCAGCTGAGGCCAGCATTAAACAGGCAGAAATGTAACAACTATGAAAGTTTGCAAAAATTAAATATGTATGGTTCTATCCTTAACCAGATGCCACTGGTTTAAAACCTCATGTCTACCTACATAGTCTTGCTGAAGCAGGGCATGTTGACCAGTTAAAATCCTAAAAAAAGACATCCCGCCCCCTCCAAAAAAATGGATTTGGAATTCCCCAATGGCCAGACAGATTTAAAATATAAACTTAAGGATAAAACTCCATAAGAATAAGAAAGTAGGTCTTTGTTTACACAGTTTCTATAAAAAGATATACTGAAAATGTTAAAAATCATGCTTTATACAAACCTAACCCCATCATTTATAACATGGGTTTTTTAATTCAGGCTACTGAAAAGAGGATGGGAACAAGGCTTTATTCAATTTATAAAATGCTGTAATAAACAGGATCACCTCCTATTGAACTGCAAATGGTTGGCAGCCTTTTAAAGTGTTACTGATACCTACCAAATCAACCACTGCCTCTCACATTTCATGTATTCGAAGCTGGATAATCTTTCTTTTGACTTCTACGAGTCAATACTCCATTTATTTTAGGAAGTAAAATGTTCACCCATTCAACTAAACTACGCAGTTAGCACGCCATAACCAGCTTAAAGTGCTATTCCACTCTGAAAAGCTATGACATTATGAGGCTCTGTGTTTAAACCTGGCACTAATTCTGGGTTTATAAACTAATAAATGCCAATCTTGAAACCTGTGAGATCAGAAACTTTAGGTAGAGGTTTTCTTGTTTGCATGCCAAATTCAGTAGTAAAGATTCTTAAGGCCAAATGTTGCTTTATTGTACCTTTGCAATCTGAATGCTTCCACTTGAATAGCAGATGTCCATTTTAACTGAGGGTTAAAATGTGACCATAACATTGACCCTTTTAACTTTTAATAATTAATCTTTTGATGACATGCAGAAAGGTACTGAATTTAGCTGATACTCTAATAAACAAGAGTTTGCTCTGCAGGGATAAACAGAAGCAAAATGCAAATTTGTTGCTCAAGTCATCAGGCTAGAACTCTGAATATAGAGCATGTCTTTTCAACAAGTATCTCTTAATCTAGTTACTTTTCAGAGTATAATGGCACTTTCAGAAAGTGTACTCACTACTGTGGTCAGTTAGTGAAACATGCAACAAAGGACACAGGAGTGGCAAAACAGAGCTCTATTTTTCAGAACACACTAGTAATTCAGTGAGAAGTAATAGACACAGCAACAGCATTTACTGAATAAGATGGCCAGCAGCAGGTTTATAGTGTCTTAGGTTTCTATTTTTTTTTAACCCAAGATAGTATGATGCCTATGATTTTTTTTTAAATTGTACTTCTTCCCCTTATCGTGCATGGACTGTAGAGTACCCAAAGTACATGTGACCTGAAAATGTTCATACTAAATAGTAGAAGTTTATTCCTAAATTACAAAAATAATGAACTGTGAAGTTCATTTTGGGATGAGTATCTTTAAATTAACTCAGACAGATGGATAATTTATATATAAAGACATATCATAGTTATTTCATGTACCTTTCTAATTTACCCAAAAGCAGGGATGAATCCAGAGCATGTACAGTGGCATGGTCACACACCTTTTCTGACCATGCTGTAGGAGCAGCATCCAGGGACTTTAATTCCCCAAAGAAGTTAAGAATCCCCTCTGTCCCCTCCCTTGCCTGACACTGCTACTGTCCCAGGAGTGAGGGGAGCTCCTGTCCTACTCCAGCTGGGCTGCTTAGGGGCTGGGCTCAGCTTGGGACAGCAGCAGAGGTGGCAGACAGGTTCCCCCCCCTTCACCTAGTGTTCCATCGGCCTGGGACAGGTGTGGGGCAGCAGATCCTGCTCGCCCTCCACCACTGTCCTGAGCTGAGCCCAGCACCCCATGCAGCCCCATTGGAGTTACTTTGGAGTTCCCCTCACCCCCAGGACAGTAGGGAAAACGGCAGTGGCAGGTGGGGAGTAGAGGAGGGGGACATGCCTCTGAGCTGGGAATGGAAAAAGGGGGGAGGGCAGAAATTCTTACCTGGGGGGGGGGGGGGGGAGAGGAAGGTGTTAGCCACTCCTGCAGTACCAGTTGCTGGTCCCAAACCCTCTCCTTTTCAAAATCCTGGATCCACTGCCCAAAAGGTATTATAAGCCATCAATATACCAATATGGTTTTTTGACTTGAGATAATCTGAATGCATCTGCTGTCACTTTCAGAATGTTACCATAGCTTCACAGTAAATACTATTATTTGTACATTTAAAACTTGTGCCTTTGGTATTCATTCCACACATTACTCCATGCAGAGTTTGATACAAGGAGTCTGCATAACATCTCTTATTAGGGAAGGTTCATCAAATTATTATCGACTACAGTAGAGTTAAAAGTAGGGATTAAGTGTACAGAATGGGAATTGAGCTAGTTTGAGATGTGACAGGGGAAAGGGGCTGTTTAAATGTTTGACTAGGAAAGTTATACAAACTTTTTTCTCCCCTTCACTTCTAGCTAACCTTGAAGATCTGTGGGAAGGAAAGAGGCAGACTGTAAGTAAGTCACATGGAGAAAATAAAACCTGCTGCATGCCTTACATTTTTGAGGGGTTTATTTCTGAAATGCTGCAAGACCTATGAGAGAAATGCATGCAAGCCATAATGCAAGAAGCCAAACCATACCTTTTGAACCTGATAGATCTACAGGAAAAAGGGGAACGGGAAGGAAAGAAACAAAGCTAGCATGAGTATGTTAATGAATAGCACTAATTTTAAACATCTACTGAAAAGGAAAAAAGTGGGGGTTTTTTCTGCAGTATGCCCAGGAAAATGTGAACAGAGAAATAAGGTGTACTTGACATTTATTCACCTTTTGTAAAAAGAGAACTCCCCTCAGCCCTCCCATTACCCAATTCATTGCAACTGTCTTGTAATATTCAGACCCATTTGATACCATATTACACAAACAGAGATGTAGTTACATGCTGTGTAAATCTTTTTCTTAAACTTTACATTGAGCATGTGGTAAAATTACCTATTCCAAGATCTGCTAATTGTATTTGCAGCACTCTTGCCTATGGCAACGCTCCCCTCAAAAACAATGAATACCCAAATATTCATCCAAGAAGAGAGACATGCATCCATTATAGCAGTAAAATCAAACTAGTTTAATAATATTTGGTACAGAATCGTCCTCCACGTTGCTATTTTCTGCTAAATTAAAGAGAAGCAACAACCATTCAATAGCTGGTAAAAAGCTGCATTATCAAGTAAAATTAACTCTCAGTTGTTGGTGTGAACTGAGAATACTGTTTAAGAAGTCTGTTCATCTCTCTCTCTCTCACGCATATACAACAGTTCCACACTGGAGGGAATAGTTTAACAGTTTTGCAAAGATCAATGTATGTAATTAATGGCTGTACTGCTGCTACTACAAACAAAGCTACCGCCTAATTTCTTCTACCAGTTTGAATAGTGCACTGAAAAAAATTAAACCCTTTTAATTACTTTCTGACATATACTGGAATTGACTTTCATTTTTACATTATCCAAGTCCGTGTATACATGGGATAAAAAAAATTTAGAGAATAGAACATTTCCTTTTGAATTTGTACAATTAATTAGATATTCCTAAGCAACAAGCAACTTCTGTGCAACAGCTAGTTTAGAGGAACACTAATTCATGACAGAATAGAAAATATATGCCATCTGTTGTACATGCCAAACGTGTTCAATCAAGGCCAATTTTCTAGTTTACCAGAACTGAAACATCATTAATTTACTGTCTATTTTGAGACGCACAGATACCGAATAAAAGCTTATCACTTCTACACAAGGGTGTTCATATATGGAAAAAGTCTAGTGGGGAAAAAGAAATTGGTTTCAATTCTGAATTTTCTTTTATTCAGCTGGAAGAAAAGAGAAACAAGATTGGTCCACTTTTGGATTCCTCAGTCTCCTAAATAAAGATCTTGAGATACTCCATGACCCAGTGCCTTTACAGCATTTCCCTAGGCATCTCCTCCTACACAAACCAATATGTTGCAAAAGCTATGCTTCCCAGGCCAGCCATTCCATCTATGCCTGTGTAAGTTATACTATGGCAATTATAAATTACATTTGAAAAGTTTAATTTAATGCCCCCAACAGATCAACTCATCAAATGTCAACAGAGGGAACAATTGGAACCAAAAGATCTAAAATTGCTTCCTCACCCAATTAGTCAACTTGTCTATCATCTCACGATGTTATTTTTCTGAATTGCTATCAACCTCTTGCTTTAGAGCAAAATGGCACCATTGTTTCAGCATTATAATTTCAGAATTAAGTAAAATAAGAAGGGAAGCTACAAGTTGGAAATATGCTGAAATAGTAAGTTAGTATTTAGCACAACTGAAAACACCAGAAACCTAATTAGCTTCTATTTCAATAGTTCCCAACATGAAATCCTAATCGATTCCCTTCTAATTATACATGTGTAATGCACAATATAGATAACTCCTAGTTCTATTTTGGGAATCCCATTTTTGAGGTTATAACATCTGAGCCAAGTGGCAAGTCTACTCAATACTGTTCTCACAACAGTGCTTCAAGAAGTCTAATATCTGGAATTAAAAAAATTGGCAAAGCTGGCTTTGAAAGCCATCCTTCTATACACCATATTTTAATCAATAAGTCCTTCAAAAGGCTCCTTTTAATCTCTAAGACGTTCCCATTCTAACCATGCTCTTTCACGCTTTACAGTTACAATTAGAGCTCTCTCTTGCCTTTAGGGGTAGTTTACAGTCAACCAATACAGTACATAATGTTTTAAGTATCGAATAGGAAAATGATAAGCAGGAAAAGGTTTTAAAGAATTATTTATACATAGATGAAAAGTAGCATAAGCAGTAAATAGCCATTACTTCTAAACAAATCCAAATGTCTTATTGTAGGTATGTCCTTCTACAAAGCTTTTTCTTTTTTTAGTCAACAGATTTGTAAGTACTCACAATTCTTCATAGATCATACTTCTCATTACCATTTTATTGCTTCAAGTGCTAAAAGAATACAGGACTTCCCTGATTCCTACAACACCCAACATATACCACTTAATTTGTATGCTTCTGTTGAGTAAGTTGTGTACCATCTCTCACATGAACAAGAGTTGCAAATTTTTCTGGCACACTTTTATTATGAAATATATTGCAAAAAGAACAGATCTATTGATAATATAACATTAACATCCCTATACCCTTTTCATTTTTCCCCGTCAATCTTGCCACAAAGTACAGTACCTGTTTTTAGCTGGTATGTAATTTAAAAAGGATACAGACTGACCTTCATAAAGGAACAGTCCTACATTTTCTCCCATAAATAAGTGGAAAAACAAGTTCTAACCAATAATGCTCTTCGCTTCTGTCCAAGCCAGCAGTAATTTTGTAGGTCTCTGTGCTTGTTGTCTAACCAGACTTAGGTGACCGTCCTGTATACTCACTGTGTCAGATCTGGGTCAGCAGATCACGTGATCTCTAGAGACTAAATCCAGAAGGAAGTGCCCTTTCAATCCCCGGGTAACTGACAGTAAGTAAATTATTCATTTTAAGATCTTTTGCAGTCATTAACTTAAAATTTAGTTACCTTTCCACAAGCATCTTGAGGAAACAATTACAAAGGGACATTAGAAAATATCTGAATCACTGTTTTGCTTCAGTTAGCAAATATTTTCCTCTTCTTGATTTGCATATGCAAGTGTTTAGAAAGATAGCAATTCGAGTTTCCACTGTGCTATTACACCCTTGATCTCATAATATTTAGACAAAAGAAAGAAAGCATTTCTGCAAGCTCTCTGTTGTGTTAGTTGAAGTGTAGGGATTTTCTTCTGTGGATTAAAGATTGGAACAAGATTATTCTGTATTTACACTTCAGTTAACAGTATCAATTTAAACAAAAGGTCTAAGCTTTATGTCCTAGGAAGGAAAACGGAAGGAAGGTCTAAATGAAAAAAAAAAAAAAAAATGTACCCCTTTTTAAGGGGTAAACTTCAGCTTTCTACATCAAGTACCAATAATATTGCAACTTACAAAATTTACAAATTAGTTTTCATCCTTCCTCTAAAACATAGGATTTTTTTAAATGTCTTAAGAATTCAACTTCTACTAAATCTTCCATAAAAAATTCCAATCTTCACAAATAAAAAACCCAATTCTGATCTCGCCTATAACCCTGACGATCTCAGTTACTCAGGTAATTCACTGCACAAAGAAAATGAACTATATGTTCGGAAAGTCCACTTTACAGATAAGAGTCCAATTGACCAAAAACAAGGGCCTGAACTTATGCAGCCACTTTCCCCAGAAAGAAACACAAGAACACATAGTGCCTGGGAAATGGACTGAAAATTAGCACTACAATGGAGAGCACAGTTTGTGAGAACTGTACCTAATAATGCGAAGCAGACAAGTCCTGCCACCACTTCAACTCTCACTAGCTGGATAAAAGCACAGTTTAGTTAGGCAGCAGAAAGAGGAGAAATAAGTACTGCCTGCTATGATTGCCCTTATAAGCTAATACAACAAATCACACTGGAATCTGCCTTAAATGACATCATTCCTTTATCCATCTGCCATATGGCTAAGGATGACAGAAGAACTAAACTTAGTCCACAAACTAAGAAGTGATGATTGTTTATCTCCCCTCTGGACTAGCCTTCGGTCAAACAGATATAAAGATGGAGGGGGGAAAAAAAAAGAAATTACAGAAAGAAAAAAAGATTAACGTAAACATTATTCTCTCTTAAGAATCATTATTTCCACTCACTAAATCACTCTTGCTGTAAGAGCTCCATGTACCCCAGGCTGTTAAAAGCCAGAAACAACTTTCTCTATCTGTGGTGCAATGATTTTCCAGCAGTTAAAAAGTATTTCAGAAACAAACTCAGTACTTGACTAACTTTTAAAATTACTTATTGTGAACCAGGCATCAAAATTGAAAATATGAAAACTGATGCAACCGAGTCTAGCTTAAATGATTTCAATTATAAATCCAGCTTTACAATTTAACCCTCTCCAAATGACTCCTTTGAAACAAACCCTACTGCAGAGAAATAAAGTGCCAAAAAACAAAACCAAAAGATTTTACTGGTTGGTTATATATAGTTATAAACCATAAAACATCTGCTAGCTTGGGACTTACTGGGTTCATGCCGCACTTTGGATCTGAAAGAATCCCAACAGCAATGTGTTTCTTCTCATATTAAATAGGATTTGACAGACTTGCAAGTATAACTGTTGGAACCATATGTTATTTTTGCCTCTTATCATGGCTCATGAACTGGCAATGTATCCTTACCACAGCTAGCAAATGGGATGCTTCAGTCAACCACCCTAGAGTAAATATTACTTTCATCAACACTAATCCATGAAGTACATTGCTTAGGGCCACCCTTATGAATGGGCAGTGTGGGTGACTGTCTAGGGCACCATGATAAGGTGCCCCCCCTCCCACACACGCATGCATTTGCAAGCAGCCCATGCCCACAGCAGCGTTCTCCCCTTGCCCCACCCTGGTCATTCCCTATCCCAGGCAAGACTAGCAGTCCCCAGCCCAGCCCACCCCTGCCTCCGGCCACTGGTGAAGAGGAGGCAGGCCAGGCCCATGAAGATGGCGGGGGAAGGGGGGGGCGGCACTTGCTTCAGTCCACTTGCCTGCCTTGCTCCCCT